ATGCATTTGTTGTTTGTGGGAAATTTGATCAGTGCGAAGCACGAGTACTGAATGAGTTCGATTTTGATTACAATTCGGATGATTTCATATCAACTGCTGTTTATCTTTATCACGAAGTCACTTCTAATGTTTACTCTAGTCAATGTGAGAAATATATTTTCATAACTTGGGGGTATAAAGATCCGACATTATTTCGTGGGGGAGGATAGCCTGAAAGTCTATGATTCAAATTCTAGGTAGCAGCGGTTTCAGTACTAAACCGACATGGTGATTGCACACAATCCCAGGAAGCAAGTGAGTCTGTTCCGATTTCGGTTGTTAATTCTAATACTAATGAGTGCATTCTAGATAATACAGAGTCTTTATCCAATACACTGTTGGACAGACATAGGATGAACTTAAGGAGAACGCGTACAATGGATTACAGAAAGTTGGACTCCAATTTAAGCTGTGGCGGATGTGGTGTTTGAATGAATTAATGATTCCTTTGTACTTGATGATTGCTTGATTTCGAATTCCAAATACAGTACATTCGTTCATGCTTATCTAGTATTATTATTATTTACCACGTCACTTATTCACTCTCTTTTATTCGCACTTTGTGTAACCTTATTTTTCGACTTATACAGCAACTCGCCTATGGTAGAAATTCAGTACTATCTAAACGTCCTCGAGTCACTGCCTGGTTGAAAATTGTATGCTATCACCAAATACGAATACTGAAGCAGTTTTTCTGAAACCGCGTGCACCATTCAAACTGGCTGCCTTCAACGTTCACACACTTATGCTGGTCGGACAACAGATAGGGCTGGAAATGTCTGTAGAAGGTCTTAATATCGATGTTCGCTGTCTATCTGAGACCCATATTCAAGACCCTGATGAAGTACTACAAATTTGCTCTCCATCTGTCGCTTCAAAAAGCTTGTTTTACGTGCGCTTATCCAAGGAATATGTGGCATCTTCGTCTGGTCTTGCTGGTGTTGGTGTCGCACTAAGTGCTAGAGCTGAGGCAGCACTAATCGATTAGATCCCCATTAACAGTCGGTTATATGCTTTTAGATTAGAAATTTCCATCAAAGTCCTGCCCTCTATCTCCGGTGACGACTGATCCACCAAATGAGGCGGAAGTCCACAAGGAACTCCAACTCTTGAAAAGCTACAAATCACCTGGCCCAGATGACTTACCTCCGGCTCTTTTTAAAGATGGTGGTGACGTTCCGACTAAGGGACTGACGACGTTGTTTACAAAGGTCTGGGAACTAGAGAGTGTACCAACGTCATGAAATGAGTCGATAGTTGTCCCTATATTTAAAAAGGGTTCACATCGTTCCTGTAACAACTATCGGGAGATAGGTCTACTTCCGATTACGTCCAAGCTATTGGCTTCCGTCATAGTTCGTAGATTGTTCAGAACTCTAGAAAGATTGACTCACGAGGAGCAGGCTGGGTTTCGTTCTGATTGAAGATGCATTGATCATATCTTCACCCTCCACTAAGTGTTAGGACACCGTCATACTTATCAAAGGCCAACAATCGTAGTGTTTCTTGATATCAAGGCTGCCTTCGATTCGTTGGACAGGACTGGTCTCTAGGATTGTCTATTGAAGAAGAGTGTGTCTGAGAAGTTTATTAACATCCTAAAGCCCCTATATACAAACACCTCAGACACAGTGAGGGCATACAACCACCTCTTTCCATTGTTTCATTCGAGAAGTGGCGTTAGGCAGGGTTGCACAATCTCACCATTCCTCTTCAACTTAGCGATCCATGAAATTCTGGAAACAGCTCTGATGGATGTAAGTAATGGTGGTGTGGATCTGTTGCCCGGAGAAAGACTTCTCGACCTTGAGTATGCGGACGATATTGTCTTACTGTGCGATAATGCCCAAGGCATACAATCCGCACTTAATCAGTTGGCAATCAGTGTCCGTAGGTATGGTATGTGCTTTGCACCTTCGAAGTGCAAAGTACTTCTACAAGACTAGCAGGATTCTTATCTTGTACTCACCTTGGATGGTGAGCAGATAGTAGTCGAGAACTTCATGTATCTGGGTAGCTGCATAAGTGCTGGTGGTGGCGTGAGTGATGAGATCAATGCACGTATAGTGAAAGCCAGAGCGGCTTATGCCAATCTGGGCCACCTTTGGTGCCTTCGTGATGTTAGTCTGGCTGTAAAAGTTCGGATTTACAACGCGTCGGTGGGAGCAGTTTCGCTCTATGCTTGTGAAACCTGGCCTCTCCGAGTTGAGGACGTTAGACGACTCTCTGTGTTCGATCATCGCTGTCTCCGAAGGATTGCTGACGTTCAGTGGCAACACCATGTCAGTACTGCAGAGGTTCGGCATCGTGTGTTCGGGCACGAAAACGATAATGCGATCGGTGTCACCATCTTGAAGCACCGACGTCAGTGGTTTAGACATGTTCTACGAATGTCGTCCGAGAGAATTCCACGTCGTGCATTATTTGCCGACGCTGGGACTTTGACGAAAAAGCGGAGAGGTGGTCAGTGTATGACATGGTGTCGTGGTACGAAAGAAAGCTGTACGGGACTGGCTTCGGTTGGTCCTTCACGACTCCCTGGCTTGGGTCCTAGAGATGGTGCAACACAGTGGTTAGAGACGTTATCAGATATGGTTCAGAATCGAAGCTAGTGGCGATCCTCCTGTAATCTTCCTTTACTTTCTATCATAAAAAGTGGTTATATCTTCCCTAACTGAAAGATTTCTTTTAGTTGTACCTTTCCGTTTCTTCCATTATTATTATTATTATTATTATTATTATTATTATTATTATTATTATTATTATTATTATTATTATTATTATTATTATCATTATTACACTACCTTACAATAATCTGGTCGTTATTGTTCTTCTTCTTTTCTTCTACGCCCCTTACCTTCCTTTTTTTCTCTCCGAATTCTCTTTGTTTTGTATGGCGTATATATATTTGGTGCCCCCTTGTACCAATATTTATGTGTTCAAATAAAATAAAATAAATAATAATAAATATCTAGTACTTCTTGATCTAACTGCATTATTTCTGGGATGCTTAGTTCGTACTGTAATTCAAATACTTCCATTTATCAGTGGTTGATTCGTTCATGAACTGTGGTCCAGAATGCTCGGCTAGCTTTTGCTAACTTGCGTCATTTATGGCGTAGGCGAGATATCCGTCTATCAACCAAAGGACGTGTTTACTGCGCAGCAGTTCGTTCCGTCCTGGTTTATGGAAGTGAAACATGGCCGGTAAGAGTAGAGGATATTCGTAGACTACTAGTATTTGATCATAGGTGTCTTCGAAATATTGCTCGTATATCCTGGGACCATCGAGTAAGTGATGCAGTTGTTACGAAACGGGTACTAGGTAAGGATGGCAAATCAATTGATGACGTAGTGAAACTTCATCATTTGAGATGGTTGGGATATGTGTTACGTATGCCCAACCACCGACTGCCCCGACGTGCGATGTTCAGTGGTATAGGAGTAGGTTGGAAGAAAGGTAGGGGCGGCCAAACCAAAAACATGGCACAAGTCCATGAAGTCACTGACAAGTGAACTGACTCATGTCGGTAGATGTAGACTACCTGGTTGGGGACCGCGAGATGATAGCAATCGATGGTTGGGGACCTTGAATGACATGGCTCAAAATAGTTTGCGATGGCGCAGGTGCATCCACTCTTTGTGTTCTCCCAAATTTTGATCTCCTGATTCCCCATTGTCTCTTTTTTCTCTTCTCAAGTTTATTTCACTGTATTATACTCTTTAAATAACATCTCCAAACAATAATCTTTCCGATTACTGCTTATACACTTATTAACTCTACCACTACGGGATTTGAATCGACTACTCTATCTCTGTGCTAATGTGGTGTGGCAACTCGAACTGATGTATGTACGTACGAAGTTCTATGTTGTTACTGACTGACTGATTGACTGATACCCCCATGTACGTGTCGTACTGCATCTGACTTACATAACTACAGGATAAGCTTGAGGTTGAACAGAAATTATAATTTCAATACACCAAAGACTATAAATTTCAAATATTTGAAGATTGGTAGGTAATTCTACTCCACTAGTTGCTTGAAATATTGATCTGCTCTTACTGTTTCCAATGTAAACGAACCAGACGGTCAGTCAATAAATAATTACAGATTAGAATTTTTCACATCAATATATAATCGATATATAATTGTGGTATTTGTACTAAATAATGATCCCTTTGCACTCGATTCAGAGCTTATTACGAATTCAAAATATAACACGTTCAGCTGTGTTTATTTAGTTCTATCCACCTTAAATTGCACTATTTCGGGAATTCTTAGTTATCAAATCAGGTTGGATACTTCTAATTATTATTATGGCGTCGCGATGGAGCCTTTAATTTGGCAGTTGGATATACATTCGAATTCGGAAGCTTTCAAGGATTAAATCGAAATGTTTGAAATCTGTAGTATGACCAGTAAAGATGTTAGAAATGATAAAATTGTGGCTCCATTTCCTTACATTTATCGAAAAGGATGCCTACAGCTCACTAAAAAATTGTCTTTTCCAGATAAGCCTATTTCATTTCACAATGAAACTTTCGAAGAACCACCGTGGTGAGAGAAGAATTCAGGTGAGAAAGATCAATTTATCTAGTGCAAATTTACAGAGTGTGTTCATAGAATATGAGAACCGTACATTAAATACATCATCTGCAGATCTTATGTCATTTATCTCTTACAGACTTCATCTGTCATTCATTCCTGTCTTTATTTTGATTGCTTTTAGCTTTCTGTTCTATTCTCTTCACGTCAATCTTCTCAATCTTCCGCTCGCATGCATTCTATTTCCGATCGGCACTGCATACTACTTATATCTGTCAGCATAAGTAGCATATATCACACTACTACTAAATCATGTTCAGTGTGAAAACTTTGAATGTCGTGAAAGAGCGTAATTTCATGAAATGACTCGTCAGAATAACCAGAGAGTTTATCCCTGTATTTCATAAACTAGCAACCAAGTATAATTTTGGTGGTCAACTTCATGTCCATTTGGGTGATCGTTTAACTACATAAATTAACATACCAAGTCTGAAACGAGAGCTAATACAAATGCTGAGGTGTTCATTCCATGGTGCTAGGACTTCATGTATTAATTATGAGGTAGCTCATGAAACTAACTTCCGGAATATCAACAATTCTATCACATTATTTAGTTGTCCTAATCCTATTCGTACTCAAGATCATGACGGTAGACGTTTAAATAACTACAATAATCATTCTCGTGAAAACATGGGAGACAATGCATCGAAGAACTCCAAGGCAGTAAACAAAGGTAAGGTGGTGTTTGTGTGAACTAATGATTCCTTTGTACTTGATGTCTGCTTGATTTCGAATTCCAAATACAGTACGTTGGTTCGTGGTCACCTAGTCCATCTTGGTTAAATTGCATTATTTCTTGAATTCTCAGTTTGTACGATAATTTAAATGCTCCTACTTATCACATTGGCGTCGCGTTAGGGCCTGTGATGGAACATTCATTCAACTTCTGAAGCTTTTGAGGATTATTTGGAGAGATTTGAAATCTGGAGCATGACCAAATAATATATGAAGGGTGATAAAACTGTGGCACATTTCCTTACATTCATCGGAAAAGAAACCTACAGTTTATTAAAAACTTTGACATATCCAGAAAATCCCATATCACTTCCTTATGCAACTCTTAAGGACCTACTGTTAAATCATGTGAAGTGAACCAGTTTTGAATGCCGTGAGAGAGCGAAATTTCATAAGATGATTCGTCAGAATAACCTAAAGGTTTGGGAATTCATCCTCGGATCGCAAAGACAAGCTGCCAAATTGAATTTTGATGATCAACTTCATGTGCAGCTGTGGGATCGATTAACTGCAGGAATTAACACACCGGGCCTGAAAAGAGAGTTGTTAAGAATGCCAAACTGTTCCTTTCAAGATACTAGAACTGCATGTATAACTACGAAGCAGCGAAAGAAACTTGATATCCAGTCGATGAAACTTTCTAACACTTCGCTCAGTTGTCATGATGAAATACAATTTCAATGTCGATCAAACCTGCGTTTGTTTTTTAGTGATTCCTAATCTCGTCAAAATATGAAAGGTGATTCAATTAGAAATCACAAAGCAAACCACAAAGGTGAGTGCAAGTTTGGTAAATGTTTATCATGTGGAAAATTCCATTCTCCTAATTCATGTGTATTGGAATTTTTAGATCCTAACATTGCCGTACGACCCACTGAGTCCTCAATATTGGGGATTACTGGACATAGACTGGCCATACGAGGATGCTGTGAATTGCTAATAAGAGATTATAATTCTTCACACATACTTTGTGAATTTTTAGTTAGTGAAACAGGACTGTCAATACTGAAAAGTCTTGAAGTGAAATCAGATGGAAAGACCTCTAGAATATGTGGTTACTATAAATTAACACTGAACTCCCGTTTGTTAAAACAAACGTGCACGAAGGGTAGAAGTTGAAGATATTCTAAATCGACTTCATGATTCTAAAATGTTCTCGAAAGTTGATTTAGAAGATGTTTATCTTCAAATCCCTTTAAGTCAATCTTCATCTATTTTGACGACAATTAACACTCCTTTTGACCTGTTCAAATACAACTTCCTCCCATTTTGTCTAAGTTGTTCTCCAGCCATATTTCAGGAAGTTATGAATAAGGTAGTTAGCGATCTTGAAGGTGTTGAAGTTTATCAAGATGATCTCATTGCTCATGGTTCTTATAAGATAGTTCATGACCAGAGACTTATTGCTTTATTGCGTCGTTTAATCGAGAGGAATATTACGGTGAATCTAAATAAGTGTCCATTTTGTGTATCTAGTTTCGAACGTCTTGGATACCTAGTTGACGGTAATGGTTTTAGACCAGATATGAAACGACTAACTCCACTGACAAACGCACCGTCTGCAAAAAATCTTACAGAACAACCTTCACTAACGGGCTCTCTTCAATACTATTCCCGTTTTATTCCTAATATTGCTTGTCGTGCCAATTGTTTATTTAATATTTTGACATCGAGTTCATTCAAATTGAGTGAGGAACAACGGTCGTGCTTATGAAGTCTACTAAATTTCCTTCAAAGTGATGCTGTGCTTCGAACTTACTCCCCTAGTGTACATTCTGCACTTATTACTGACACATCAACTGTGGGCATTGGTTCAGTTTTGGAGCAGGAAGATAGACCAGTTATCTGTGCTCTACTCAAACTTACTGTTACTGAATAAGGTTATTCACAAACTCAGCGATAAGCATTGGCTGTGTTTTGGGCTGTTGAAAGACTTTATAAATATTTATTTGGAAAGAGATTCACTATTGTTACTGATTATGAAGCTTTAAAGTCTATTTATCATCCTGAAGAATTCTTAGCACGTTCCTCAGCTGCTATGGTTCAACTATGGAGTATTGCTTTAAGTGTCCATGACTATACGGTTCAACACAGGCGTGCCAAACGAATTCAACAAGTTGACTACATTTCTTGACGATCATTACAATATAGACCTGTTAATACTTCATACTGTTTGTTAGTGCAACCTTTGTCGATGAGACGTCCAGATCTCATTAGAGGAACTCGTAGATACTTTGGATGTATACTCAGTGCTTTGTGGAAAGGTTGGAATGCTAATTTGAAACGTAGATTTGTTAAAGCGGGGTGAGTTGTCCACTATTCCTGATGGTATTTTGTGTTTGAATGATCGTGTTGTTATTCCTCCTTCATTGCGTAAATCTGTCCTTGGAGATCGTCATAGTGGACATTTAAGTGTTGAGAAAATGAATTCCTTGGCAAGGCTCACATGTTGGTGGTCAGAGATAAGTGCAGATATATGTCGTACAGTAAAAAATTGTGGAAAATATCATAAGTTGAAAAGCTAGCCATCAAAGTAGGCTCCATGGCTAGTATCGTCTGAGGCCAGGCAGAGAATTCATACAGACTATGATGGTCCACTTCTTGACAGATACTATGCACTTGTGGTCATTGATTATTTTTGAAGTGGCCTGAAGTTTTTCTCACAACCTCACCAAATTCTGACTTTACAATCCAACAATTAAGAAAGTTGTTTAGTCGAGAAGGGGTTCCCATGGTTCTAGGGACTGATAATGGCTCTCATTTTGCTGCGGATGCAATCACTACCTGGTTGAATGATATAGGATGCACACATCTGTTTACTGTTCCCATGCACCCTTGTTCTAATGGTCAGGCAGAAACGTTTGTCAGGACATTGAAAACTTCCATTGCTTCTATTGCTGCTTCAAGACTTAGTGAACTGAAGAGGAGAGTATACACATTTCTACCGTAATATAGAAATGCTAAACATTCTGTAACGAAAGAGACTCCATCAAGGCTTTTAAAAGTAAGAATTCCTCGTCCAAATATGAAGTGTTTGGAGTTTGTAGAAGTTACATATTATTGTTGAAATGATCTTCGACCAGCCACGGGGTTGTGGTTAAGAATATCGGGAAATCTATGGTGCGAATTCTAGATTTCAATGACTTAAATATACACAACCGACATGTTGATCAAATACAATTCCAGGATCCAGGCGAGTCCGTTCCAATTTTCGTTATTAATTCTAATACTAATGATTACATTCTAGATAATACAGAGTCTATATCCAGTAAACTATCGGACAGACATAGGATGAACTTAAGGCAAAGACGTACAATGGATTACAGAAAGTTGGACTACAATTTAAGCTGTCACGGATGTGGTGTTTGTGTGAACTAATGATTCCTTTGTACTTGATGATTGCTTGATTTCGAGTTCCAAATAAAATATGTTGGTTCGTGGTCACCTAGTTCTTCTTGGTCAAATTGCGTCATTTCTGGAATTCCTAGTTTGCATTATGATTCAAATACTCCTAATCATCACAGGTGAGCACTATTTCGGTGAACGTTTGTCTTGTGATAAACTTCATTCATGTAATTCATGTGCATTTCATCATGCTGTATGCTTCAAGTGTGGCAAAATGGGACACTTCAAGTCGGTTTGCAAAACTACTGTTCACTTCACCACTACCAATACTAAACTCTGTAAATCAGATCGTAATAATTTGGATAATTCTAATAATTATGTACTATCCTTACTTCCAATTTTGTGTGATTAATTTCATATTCAAAGGAGATTATATTTGTCCAGTGGTGCTTTTCGCGATTTTATTGTTAGCAATCATAGTATCACATCCATCATATCAGCTGAAAAGATGAAGTCGTACAATCTCAATGCTATAATAAAACCTACTGACGTTCATATTTCGAGTATTGCAGGCCACAAGCTTCCTATTCTGGGGTGTTTCAATTTGGTGATTAGAGACGATAAATTTCCAATCATAAATTGGGAATTCTTCATCACTGATTATGGACCATATATCCTGAGTCTAGAAAATTTAAGAATACTTCAAGTATAGTTTTCTTAGTTGATCACTGGAGACGGTTCTAATCAAGTGCTTGATAAATTATTAACTACGGAATCGAAGTGCGAAGATTCACGCACAAATCCAAAGCTATCTCATTCTGATGCTCAAACGGAACATTTCAAGACTTTGGAAACAACAATCAATTTTATTGCTTCTGCGAAATTGAAAGACACAGAGAGGAAAGTATATCAAGTCTTTCAGTGCATAATTTCCAGACCGTACTTAGAAGAAACAATAATGAAATTGCTCAAACAAAAAATATTTTGTACAAATATGAAACGTTTACAGTCTGCCAATGTTACATACTGCCGAGGAACGGGTTTTCCACAATCGACGAAAAGTCTGTTAAAAAGGGTTAATAAATCTATGTTTCATATGCAAGCCCGACACAACAACCGAATACGTTACAAGAACCCAGGTGAGCCCGTTCCAATTTCGGTTGTTAATTCTAGTACCAATGAGTACATTTTAGATCATACAGAGTCCACATCCAATACACAGTCGGACCGACACATGACGAACCTAAAGAGAAGAAGCACAGTCGATTACAGAAATTTAAACTTCCATTTAAGCTGTGATGGTTGTGGTATTTGTAAGAACTGATGAAAGACATGAAGAGAATAGAACAGAAAGCTAAAAGCAATCAAAATAAAGACAGGAATGAATGAATGATGAAGTCTGTAAGAGATAAATGACATAAGATCTGCAGATGATGTATTTAATGTACGGTTCTCATATTCTATGAACACACTCTGTAAATTTGCACTAGATAAATTGATCTTTCTCACCTGAATTCTTCTCTCACCACGGTGGTTCTTCGAAAGTTTCATTGTGAAATGAAATAGGCTTATCTGGAAAAGACAATTTTTTAGTGAGCTGTAGGCATCCTTTTCGATAAATGTAAGGAAATGGAGCCACAATTTTATCATTTCTAACATCTTTACTGGTCATACTACAGATTTCAAACATTTCGATTTAATCCTTGAAAGCTTCCGAATTCGAATGTATATCCAACTGCCAAATTAAAGGCTCCATCGCGACGCCATAATAATAATTAGAAGTATCCAACCTGATTTGATAACTAAGAATTCCCGAAATAGTGCAATTTAAGGTGGATAGAACTAAATAAACACAGCTGAACGTGTTATATTTTGAATTCGTAATAAGCTCTGAATCGAGTGCAAAGGGATCATTATTTAGTACAAATACCACAATTATATATCGATTATTATATTATAAGGACATCTGCGAAGTCCAAATCGTCTAATTGATTTTGAGCTGTCCATTGTATTTCGTGTTTTCCTTCAGATGTCGAGGTCTACTGCATCTTTCATCCGGTTCAGCAACACTCTGTTGAAGACCTTGCTCAGATCTCCTTTCTTTGGAATCTTGACGAGGTGCCCTTCTTTTCCAGTCCATCGGCACTTGTTCCTCCTACCAAATCTTTTTGAATAGAAGGTAAAGCATGTTTGTAGTTGCTTCAATGTCTGACTTCAGTGCTTCAGCTGGCATGTTGACGGGTCCCGCTGCTTTCCCGTTCTTAATTTGTCTGACAGTCATTCTGATTTCTTCCATCGTTGGTGGGTTGACGTCTATGGGAAGATCTGTGTGTGCCGCTCCGATGTCCGGTGGATTCATTGGAGCCGGCCTATTCAGGAGTTCCTCGAAATATTCTACCCACCTGTTCCGCAGTTGTTGAATTTCAGTGATTGGCTTGCCTTCTTTGACTTTGACCGATCTCTCTGGTTTACTGTATTTCCCTTCTAGTTTCTTCGCTTTGTCGTAAAGCTGTTTCATATTTCCTTCTCTAGCAGCTTTTTCAGCCGTCGTTGCTAGTTCTTCCACGTACTTCTTCTTGTCGGTTCTAATGCTCCTCTTCACTTGCTTGTTTGCTTCTGTGTATTCAGCTTGTGCTTGGACTTTCTCTGATCGTGTTCGGCTGTTGTTTAATGCTGCCTTCTTGTTCTTCCTTTCTTTGATCTTGTCCATAGTTTCTGTAGAGATCCACTCCTTATGATGGTGTTTCTTTAGGCCCAGAATCTCTTGACACGTTGAAGTTAATGCTTCTTT